GCGAGGACCCGATCATGGCAAAGCGAAATTCCACTGCCAACCAGCCAGCCAGCCCCGGACGATGCCCGGCCTCCTTGGCGGGGCTCTCCCGGGGCACAGACGGGCGGGCCAAAGGGGCACGACGCATCCGGGCCACTGCCTGGGCAGCCACAGGGCAAACACACACTGCTTGGGGCGCGGGGCCTCTCCCTCCTGGGGCCGGGCTCCTCCGGCTCTCTTCGGTCCTTGGCGCTCCCAAAACCCAGCAAGCCTTTGTCCTGCATCTCTTGTTCCACATTACCTATCTACCTAAAGCAGATCGTCCAAATTTTTACCACCTGACTGGAAAGGGAAATAGAAACATCCTTTAAAGGCAAATGAAAGAATATCACTTTTTGCAGTTAGTACTAAACAGCTTGTACAACCCTGGCAGGGGTACTAGTGATGGTGGGATATTTTGCCATCTTCAGTTAGTGCAGACAGTATATTCTACAAAACTACAGGTACTAAGCTCAGACTGGTATCCCTTCATCTCAGCATCCGCCACAACCTGCCAGATCACCCATTTTTAAGGTTTCCCATAAGGGAATTAATCAGGAATGTTGTTTTAGAAGCATTAGGTTGAAGAAAGTCAAGTGCCATAGGATCAAAGAAGGCAGAAGAACAAGAGTGGATCGTATCAGCAAAAGAGATTGAAGTAAGGTTTGAGCTTGAGAGAAAGAAGTTAAGAGCTGCATCTTATCCCTGTAAAAATACAAATGAATGACACATAATCCAAAGAGAATGAAAAGAAAGCAGAAGGCTAAACATTGAGGTGCACCATTAGAGAATGGATAGGAGAGAAAGAAAGAAAGAGGAAGCTGTTTAGCGGAGATGCAGCCTTAACATCCAGAGACTCAAACTAAAGATGGCAGTAAATGCATCTTTGCATTTAATATGTACATTTTGAAAAACATAAATACTGTAGGAGCTGCAGCTGGGGCTAGAATTATAAGAATCACATCATTCGGTGTGGAGAGTTCAGCTTTTTCTTTGCTGCTATGGTCCTCATAAAATTCCTCCAAAAGTGATGTTTGTATTGGAAAGAAAGCTCTCGTTGGATTTCACTAGGACTCTCTTGTTCTAGATTCTAGAACACAGCATGTTTAGAATAATAACTAGAATTGGAAAGAGTAACTTAAGAAGAGATAAATGTTTGCAGAATTTCAGCTAACATGTGCTCAACAAGGAAGAATATTGTGCATGTCTGTGCATATATTTATATAAATGTTTTATATCATTATTATAATGGTCATTACATTGTATTAGAGTAATATAATCAGAGGAGAAATATAATAAGAAGTAAGAGTTTGTAGTGTTAAGAAGTGCATTAGACACTGAAAAGCAAAAAGAGTTTCAAGGCAATAAAGGCGGGTGGAGGCAGGGTTGCAAAGATTAATTGAATACATGTTTCAAAGCATTTTTTTAAAAAATCCAGAAATAGGAGGGAAAAGAGAATAAGGAACATAGCACGAACAGAAAATACAGTGAGGCAGATAGAAGGTGTGCATTTTAGAACTCAGTTACCAACCCCCCAAAAGTGTATTGTTGTTGTTATTTAGTCTCCAGAATTAATGGGGCTCATCAGTTGTTGGAACCAGGAAGAAGAGGAGATACTAGATAGGCAGGAGAATCAAATTGTGTATTCAGATCCACCTGACAGGAATGAAAAAACATAGGATAGACACTAGTCTGAGAACCAAAGTCACAAACTCTGGATACAGTATCTATGAGTATGGCAGACAACTATAAGATTACTGTTGTAAGAATAAAATGAAATGGAAAATACAACATGACAGTTATCACTTTAATTCTTCTAAAACAATAGCAAACTTGTTTAAATACCTTCTGCATCTTTGCAGTGACGGCACCTGAATCTTAGGCTGACCACACAGACCAGGATGATCACAATCACCACCAAAATGACAATGAAGCTGATAACACCTGGTAATGGGTAGGCAAAATAACCATCACAACATACATCTCTACATTTCTACGTAACACAGATCTCTAAGTTTCTACTGCCCTCCATATCTGGCAATAGATATTAAGGGCAGTAGTACTAATGAGCTGAACCCGATGATAGTCCCACCTAGAGTAATAAATTGGATTTGGTCGCCACAAGTAACATAATTTCCATTGATGCAGGCATGTGCTTACATCACTGGATTATTTTTCCAACAACTGCCCTTTAAGCTTCTGAAAATTCTATGCAGAGGGTCTGGGAACCCTGCTGAATGGAGTCAGCAATGGCATGATGGTTTCCTCCTTTCTCCCAAATAATGTCGAAGCATCTTCAATCAGCAGAGACTTTCTACCAATAGAAGGCAATTCTGGGTGCAACCCAGTGTGTTGAAAGTGTATATTTATACTGCTGGTTTGGCTATTTAATATTTAGTGGACAAAAATCCTATTTGTGTTTGGATAACTTACAGTCGTTGCGGCCAAATGAGAAGGTGCTGGGTTGCATCTTAGTTACATGATTAATTGCACAACCAAGATGCACCCAAGTTTTTTGCCATTTAGCCATAATAGGAGAAAGTTGTGCAAACCTTACTTGCCAATCATTGTTACTTTTTTTCACTGTCCTATTTCTATGCTCTAACTTCTAACCAAATTTACAGAGTTTGTAAAAAGTTTGTTATTAGGCATCTAATAAGTATAGCAAATACAAGTAGCAAAATGATATCCTTACATGAACATTATATATATTTGTTGTTATTTGCATGAAATATCTCAAATCCTTTCGTATCAAGCCCTTCAGACTGTGACACCCCATCCTGTTTGTTGACTGTTCCGCTTACCAGATGCTGCTACCGATAGTGCTGCCGATTTCTCTTCTGTAGGGGAAGGTGCAGATAAGAATTCCGTCTTTGCATCCTGGGATGTTTCTGTAGGAGTCACTGATTTAAATAGACCTGTGGAAACAAGAAGAGGAGGATGTGGAGAACCATATAGTAGAATCCCACCAGATCAGAAAAGCACACATTAGAGTAAATAAAAGTTTTTCTCCTCTTGTTAAGAAGTCAGAATAGAGATCGGCCCATGTTTAGCAGCAGAGTTGTGAGTGTTTGGTGAGCTCAAGTGGGAGAACCTAGGTATTCATGACACAAAAAGCTCAGCTTTTCCTCACTTGCTCTCCTCCTCCCTCCTTTTGCATCTGAGGTGTCAGACCTGGAGTGCAGTGCATTAACAAGCATGGATGCCATGAGATAGAGCATCAAGCAGGGAGGGGGTTGGACTTCATGGCCTTATAGGCCCCTTCCAACTTCACTGCTCTATGATTCTGTGATATGTGGAGGACATCCAGGGTGCAATGGATGTCCTCCATTGTTGACAATGCAACAAATGTATATTCTTTCCAGATGTGCAAAATATTTGCTAAGCATCAAACTGTGTACATGGGTTAGAACACAATAAATGTAACTGAGATGTCTACACATACAAAAGATACAGACCTCACAGAACAGAAACAAAAGTATAAACGAGGGAGGCCTTTCTCTTGGTCCCACCATCTTCACAGGCATGCCTGGTGGGGACACAGGAAGGGGCCTTCTCTGTGGCTTCTCCCAGTCTCTGGAACTCCCTCCCACAGGAGGCCAGACTGGATTCATCTTTGCTGTCCTTCTGCAAGCAAAGACCTTTCTCTTCAGGCAGGCTTTACCTCAGTGACTGGCTGCCTGAGTAGAGTTTTGAAATGGATTGTTATTAATGTGTGTGTGTTTTTGGTGTTGTTTTTGGTTACTGCATTTTAGTGTAGTATTTGTTTTACCTTTTTTAGTATTTGTGTACTTACTATCTTTAGCTTTAAATGCTGTCTTTTAATTGTTGTAATCTCATAGTCATAGAACAGTCTCTTGGGTAAACTGCCTTGAAGTAGTTTATTCTTGAAGGCTCACAAACGTGTTATGGAGGCCTTGGGCTCATTGGATTAGGAGGACTTTGCTGAAATTAGTGATAGCCATGTGCTAGATTTGTATACTGATGATAAAAAAACATGCTCTTATTTGTGGAAAGTATTATCGAACTAACCTTACCATTAGGCAAAGCAAAGTACCCACCTAGGCAAACCCCGAGAGATGGGGAGTGGTGGTGCCATGTTGGAGCTCTTCATGTACTGTCCCGCTTGACCTTCCCCTCTAAGCTCTCTTGCTGCTAACTCTGCGTTAGTATTTTAATACCTTAAGCTATGCGGAGTCTGTTTTTTTAATCAATTTGTTGATGTTTAGGTATCTCACCCTCCCTCCTGTGGAAACTGTTCCCTTCTCCCCCCCCCACCCTACGTTTTGCCCAGTTAAAATTTAGATATTTTGGTGCCCTTGTATCTGCAAGAACAGGCAAGGCTGTCCTGTATTTTGCTGGGTCAAAACAACCCTTTCTAGACAACTGTTTCCCTGCCAAAATGAGTTTGTGTTCTCTTTCTCATATAAATCAAGTGATAATCATTCCTGTATCTATAGGAATATCTGAAACTATGGGATGTACAGTACGTTTTCCACTGATTGTAGTATTAGCATGCTCAGGTGAGAAGTGATGCTGCAGCCCTTCCATACCTGACCATGAGAATCTGCCATTCTTTAAACTATGCACAGTACTGGACATTTTAGGACATTGATTCCCATACTGGGGGGCATGAAGACATTCTTTGTGCGGGTGCAAAACTGACATTTTCATAATGAAGATGTTTTTTAAAATAATAATAATCTTAAACCATTTATTATTATTATTATTGAAACTTGTTTTTTTCCCAGTCCAAAACTATTATTGACTTTTTCTGAAACATGGAAAACTAGTTGTGCTTATTTTAAATTTATTTTTAAACACTTTTTTGGGCTGTTGGACGTGCTGCTGACCATTGTTGGGTGGTAAGAGTCTGCATTGTTTGGACCCGTGCAATTTAAAATTACAAGTACTGTAGTTTTTTTGTTAGAAGGGGCTTGGATTTTAGTAAAGGAAAGGTTGGGATACATGAGGGTTTCTCAAAAACCAAAAGAAGGCATGATGCCAAAAAGCTTAGGAATTGCAGTTTGGGAGATTAAAGAAAAGACAAAGAATAAATATATTTTCATTCTATTTTTTGTGTTCTATCAGGATAACAGAAGAGTGTTTCTTTTTGTTCTGTTTTGTTGCAAGGACCTATTTTAAAAGGTTGCTCTGTATTTTCAGTAATTAATAGTAAAATGTGTTCTACCAGTCATGGGTAGAGGAGTGATGTTTTCATTTTCCATGGTCTCAGAACCTGCAAGTAAAGTGGGGGAGGGGATACAAAAGTTATTAAAATACAGTTTGTGAGAAAGTGATAACTTTCCTAAATCGTTATCTAAAATATGAGATTTGATTTTGACTATCCCCATTAGCCTTCCTGCTCAAGCCCACATTACTTCACCTTAAAATTTAAATACAGTGGTGCCTTGCATAGCGATTGCTCCATATAGCGATGAAACCGCTTTGTGGACTTTTTGCCATCGCAAGAGCAATCGCTTTGCGATGGCACCTATGGGGAAATTTCGCTTTGCAATGAGCGCAGGCAAGCGATCATCGCAAAGCCCCCATTTTCAGCCAGCTGATTGGCAGTTCCAAAATGGCCTCTGGATAAACAAAATGGCCACCCACTGTTTTGCCTTGCTTTAGAGGCACCGAAAATGGCCGCTGCAATGGAGGATTTTCGCATAAGGTTAGTTTTTAAGCCCATAGGACTGCTTTAAACGCGTTTTAATGCATTTCTATGGGCTTTTTAAAATCGCTTAGCGATGAAATAGCTTAGCAGCTATTTTTGCTGCACCGATTAACATCGCTAAGCGAGGCACCACTTTATTCCAAATGTTGGCTTCTTGCTCTTCTATGGAAACCTCCACAGTTCAGTGAGAACTCAACCAGGTCCACATACAAAGATTAGACCCTGTTTCTGGAATACACTGGTGCCCTACTAGACGATTACCTCACAAAATGATGAATCTGCATGACGATGAGTTTTTGTGATCGCTATAGTGTTTCACAAAACAGTGTTTCCTATGGACGGTTTTCGCTATACGATGTTTCGGACTGTACTTCGCAAGACTTTTTTCCCCAGGACCAATGCTTCACAAGACAATGATTTTAACAGCTGATTGGTGCTTCGCAAAACGGGTGTTTTCAGGACCGATGCTTCACAAGACAGCGATTTTAACAGCTGATTGGCGCTTCGCAAAATGGCTTCCCTATGGGCAATTTTCACAAAATGTCGACGATTTGTCCTCATTGGAACACATTAAACGGATTTCAGTGCATTCCAATGGGGAATCGCATTTCGCAAGACTATGTTTTCACAAGACAGCGATTTCAATGGAACGGATTAACATCGTCTTGCGGGGCACCACTGTACTGTAATGAAGTTCTGCCTACAGACCTCACAGCATACATACAACATAGATAGTTCAGTGGTTTGGCTATCTGGCTGCAGAGCCACAGGTAGGGGTTCAATTCCCCATTGTGCCTCCTTCACAGGAGCTGGACTTGGTGATCCACAGGGTTTATTCCAGCTTTGAAGTTCTAAGATTATGATGATGATATTGATATTATTATTCAAATATACTAGGAACAGTCAATCGAAATTGTAAGAACATTGAGTGGTATTATATAACAGATACAAGTTTTAACCAAAAACCTGAGTATCTGTTAAATATCGTTGCAGTATTATGCTGTTCCTAATATTGCTGGGTTTTGTAGCTCTGATTGTATTATTTCTGAGAGCTGCAACTATTTCTGAGATTCACAACTGTGTGGAATTTCTTGATATTGTTCCCAAAGCTCTGATGACTACAGGAACCACGGTCCCAAAGCTCTGATGACTACGGGAACCACGGAAGTGGGTTTCATCCAAAAGTAAGATGTTTCAATAGCTAGATCTATGTATATTGTTGATTTTTCAAATTCTTTATATTAAATTCTGGCATCCTCTGGAATTGCAATGTCAATGAGCCAGACATTTCTCCTGTTGTTTTCAAAATGTTCTCCATATTCACTGCATAAAGTTGTTTTCAAAATGTTCTCCATTTTCACTGCATGAAGTAATTTTTTTTCTACTTGTACTAATATAATCATTCAGGCTTCTTTTTCCTCCTCTACTACCTGCTGTATTTGCAGTAATCCATGGCCTCTGATTACTGTATTTTGTGGTAAATATAACTTGTCCACATCACTTTTTGAATGTAGTGTGTGATGCATGTGCATTAGTTTCCATATTTTTTTCAATCCAATTCTTCTACAGTATTTCATTTTGAGTCCAATCTGTTATTCCAGCTGGGTATCTAATTACTGGAACTGCCAATGTGCTTTGATTATATTTCTCCCATTTAATGTTGATTTTAAGATTTTCTGCAGTCTTTTGATATATTCCCCCTTTTTCAATTCTTTATCTTTTGTGTGCAGATAAAACCTGCTTCTAGGATTTCTAAGTATCTATAATTTTCATCACTTAATAGTGATTTTATAATATCGTCATTTTAAACTATTCCATCAAGTTTTTGGATCTTGCCACATTGTATAGACAGATATGGACATTTGTCAATTCCAAATTTCACTTTAATATCGTCACTAAATATTCACATTGGGACGTGGTGGCGCTGCGGGCTAAACCGCAGAAGCCTGTGCTGCAGGTTCAGAAGACCAAGCAGTCGTAAGATCGAATCCACGCGACGGAGTGAGCGCCCGTCACTTGTCCCAGCTCCCGCCAACCTAGCAGTTCGAAAGCATGCAAATGCAAGTAGATAAATAGGGACCACCTCGGTGGGGAGGTAACAGCGTTCCGTGTCTAAGTCGCACTGGCCATGTGACCACGGAAGATTGTGTTCAGACAAACGCAGGCTCTATGGGCTTGGAAACGGGGATGAGCACCGCCCCCTAGAGTCGAACACGACTGGACAAAAATTGTCAAGGGGAACCTTTACCTTTACCTTTAAATATTCCCACTGTGTTTAGCAGTAGTTCTATCTCAGTGGAACCTTTTGCATATAGTTTTAGGTCATCCATGTATAACAAATGAATGATTTTTCCTGCTTGTTCTGAAATATTGTAACCCAATCCAATTTTATTTAAAATTATTATCATGGGGATAAGTGGAGGGGATGATGATGATGTTTCTTTTTTCAAATAACCATGCGTGTCAAAAGTCCAGCATGAAATGTCTAATGCTTGTGCCCCCATCAGATTAGTTCACGTCACATCTGTATCCCCACAACAATTTTGAAGGTGTTTCCTTTTCTAATTCATAGTTTGTACAAACAAGATCCTTTTTCAGTTGAATGATACACCTGTACTTTGAAGCTTAATGCAGTTAAGGAACTAGGAACAGGGTCTAATAAGATAAATGTGGCATCAGATTTCAGTAGAGAGGTACTTCCACATCCTTCTTGAGGCCATCCTTCCGTTTCCTCCTTCATTACTTACTATAAGTCTCTGATTCATTGGTCATCCTTTTCATTCTTTTTAAATATTTTATGCAGTTTTATAGTTGAATATCCAATTTTCCTACCCCTCCCCTTGATGTTCTACTTTGGTTTGTTTCTCATACTACCTTTAAAAATATCATTTATTTGTTAAACCATCCAAGGATGCTTTCTCAAAGAAGGTAAACTAAAACTTTGCCCAGGATCCAATTGGATACATCCATAGAGGGAGGGCCAATCCAGTAGGAGCTGTGCAACCCCTACAGGTCCTTACTAACTACTATGGGGTGCTTGGAAGCCCCCAGAAGTAGAGTTTCAAATGGGGCTGACGGTGGAAACCCAAGAAAAGAAATTGCATGTGCATGGGGTGGGGGAGGAATCACCTCCTCTTGCATCTGCTGCTTCTTTCACTGTATATATCCAGTCACATTTTGCCCCTTAAGAATTTGCAGATTTGTAGAGCAGAAGACTTTATTCGGAACTCACAATTAAAAATAAAAAGGAATAAAACATTTTCACTGTCACAAGAAAAAGCAAGCTGTTTAATTTACTACTGGCTATGATGGTGAAAATACTTCATTTAAAATTTAGGACATTTAGCTCAACATCACCTAACAAATGTAGGCTTGAGTTTACTGGTGTTGGATCACCTTAAAGAGGAAATAAACAGATAATTTCTTGGTGGAAATGCAGTGTGTAGGTATCTAGTCTTGCTTGACTTGTTTTGATTCGTCATCTTCTTACCACCTCTCTCCCTGCACATGTGTGTATGTGTATGAGTCTGTGCACACATGTACACCAAAATAAGTCTCTCCTGAAACCACTAACAAAGACTTGAAGGAAGCAGTTCTCACTGAGGAACCATAAACAGAAAAACAATGGTAACCCATTCATGCTGAGTATTCAGACACAAAGGAGACAAGAGTTGGCCCTTGGTGTCACTTGCCCCTAAAAAGCTGGCCAAAGGGACAATCTACTATGGGTCACCCGCCTGGAACCGCAAGTCCCCGTTTAGCCTATAGTTGGGGAATACCTCTTTCCTCCTCTTTCCTTGTTGGTAACCTATCCCAGCGGCCAGATGTTTTATTGGTTTTCTCCTTACCCAGCCAAAATGCTTCATTTATTTTCTCCCAAACAGTAGTAGTGATGGTTCTTGAGAGCACCAGCCTATGGTCTTGAAATCTCTCACGAGATCTTTCATTATTTTCTGGCTATGGTGTGGTATTCTTACTACATAGCATATTTTAATTCCTATTCTTAGGAAGATGCCCATAACTCAAGTGACAATAAATGCAAGCACGCTCTGGTTGTGTGCATCTGTGCAAGAAAGACGAAGCGGTATTTTCAGATAACCCAGCATGACCCATAAGCTGATTTAGAAGTTGAGAGAGTTTTTTTTAAAAAAACACATTCCTATGTTATGTTCTCTGACTATTATGTAGTTATAAATATATCCTGCTTATGGCAGAAAGAAAGCCTTGCTATAAACATATATGCACACTCAGAAAAAATAATCCATAATTGATTAAGAAATCCATTTCTTTGCATTTTATACAGCTTTTATTTCAATTTGCAGCTCCATCAGGTTTGCTGAGGCAAATAATTAAATTATTGTGTGATATGTCTTCCTAAAAGAGCTGCCCTTTTCCTGCAGAAGCTCTTACTATATCATGTGCGTACCACAATGTCACTGTAGTTAATCTGTAATCTCCAAACATCAACATCTATTTATAGCACAAATACTGTACAAAAAAAAGAGGCTTTCTGGTCTAAACATTTTACAGACACATTTGTGAAAAGCTCCTTTCCTTCACAGCAGTCAAGCTAAAAAATGCCTGATTCACAGAACTGCTTTGTGTCTTGCTGAGTATATGGGACTGCCTTATGATGAGTCAGGTATATCTCACCCAGTGTTCTCTAGTTTAGCAGGGCAGAGACAAAATTTACCCAGTCCCGCTGTTTGAGAAGATAACTGGAGATGCTAAGGACTTACCACACAAAGTGTGTCCTCTGTGCTGAACAGTAGACTTCCAAACCAAGAGGATTAAGGGTGCAACACAATCAATAGCAAGCAAACACCACTGCCCACAGTGGAGTTTACATGTCTGGGTAACCACACACAAGATTGCTCAGTAAAGAACCTTACCTTGAAGAAGAACACAGTCACACATCCATAAAAGTATCAGAATGTTTAAAGCTGGCATGGTGCCTTCCACTTTGTTCTCCTGTTCATTCTGTGATGAGAAAAAGTAAAAAATGAGAGGGGAAGGAGAGGAGCATTTGCTCTCCATGTGTTGATTGTCCTGGGGTTTCCTGTTAAATAATAGAAGGAAGCAGACTGAATCAACAAGGGGACTGGCACAGTGGAATTCTACTCTTGTCCATTATGGTTTCAAAGGATATGAGACAGAATTTACTGCTCTGCTGTTGTTGTCTGGAGACTTCTGCATCATACTTGCTAGAAATCTCTGGGAAATCAAAACTGTGAGTGAGTGCAGCAGAACACCTAAATTTATTTGTTATGACTAGTAATTACTACTTCCTGCTTCAAATTTAAGACTAATTTTATGTGCTCTGTTAGGAGTTAGACATTTTGAAACATAATGGTTCTCTCCGTGACCTTTGCTATGCATTTCACATTTACTCTGTCCGGGCCTCCTGTTCACATGGTTCTAATACATGCATGTGCACAAGCACATGCGTGCGCACAGAGAAAAAGAGAGAGAGAGAGAGAGAGAGAGCTCTGCTTAGAAACATGTTACACAATTAAATGTATTGAATAAATACCTTCCTTTCAAAACATGTCATATACTATATTTTTTCCAATGCCTACACAACTGGCTCACATATACATTTCCTTTGACTCAGTGGGGATTTGGTGATGCAACTCATCCATATGTTTCATTGATTCAACAGATTTCTATCGAACTTTACATTCCATAAGTGTTTTCTGAATAAGCAATAAAACTAGTACATGCATCTGCAGTGTTTACTGAAGGCAAATCAAAATTCTTCCTTCATCTTGCTCATATAGTTTTACTGCTTTATATAGATATATTGTAAGAAAGAATTATTCGGATAAATCTCAGTAAGCCTGACAAATATTGCTGTCTAGCAATATTATAAACATGTGGATATGATTTACTTTTTAATTATGTATGATTTAAATATATCCAATTATACTTCTCTGGTCTTTCTTACTGAAAATTAATAAAAACACATATTCCTTAAATAGCAGCAGAAGGCCAGGTTATATTACATTTCCTTTATGAAGAGTCTTAAAGAAGTTGAATAACGAAATATTTAAGCTCCCGCCACCATCTACCACATTTGGAGACAAACAAGCCCAGATCCTTTTTGTGCTGCTTCTTGGGAAAGCTGCTTAGTGAGGTGTCGAATTTTGCTGCCAGATCAATTTTACTTATTAATCCTCAGGCACCAAGATAAAAAACAAACCCCCCAAACTTTCAAGTACAGTAGTGGGTTTTGAGTCCTTTTGTGATTCTACCTGAATTCCAATGTACTGTGGATTAGTTGTGTGGGTGAACATTTGGGTTAGAATTTGAATTAGCACAAGGGTTGAATGTACATGTCAGAACCTACTGGAATGCCAGTCCACCTTCATGCTGCCAACCTGCTGCCAACCAGCATGTGTCAGTCTACTTTTCAGCATCATTATTCAATTAACAATGGAAGGGATTTATTTAATTAATTTATTTAATGTATTTATTTTATATCCCGCCTATCTGGTCATTGCGACCACTCTAGGTGGCTTCCAGACAAATAAAAAATAACATATACATATACCAAAATAAAAATTATAAAACAACAAACAATAAACAAATCCTTCAAGATGGTAAGATAACAAAGGATAAGTGAAGAAAGAAGAAATTAAGTATTAGCTGGAGGGAAGGCCTGCTTAAACATCCAAGTTTTTAGTTGGGACTTAAAAATACCCAGAGATGGGGCCGCACGAATCTCTGGAGAGAGGTTGTTCCGGAGGCGAGGATGTTTTTATACCAGTAACATTAGCTGATGCAAAAAAAAAAGGCACCAATAGATTTGTTGGGACACTTTTTAGTTTAGTTGATCCCACCTGTTGCAACTCTTTAGGTGACAATTAGAGGTTACTGAATTAGTGTGTGAAATCCAGCCACAAAGAAGATGCAAACGCAAAAGATTGATCTAGCATCCATAGTATAATCAGATATAAACCATACTTAAAGCTAAATCAAACTTCTTGGCTTGCTGGAAAAATCCTAATATAACTAATATTAGATGTGTAATCTTTATCAAAAAAAATTTCTGAATAATTTCTGCCTCAGGACCCACCAAATCGCAAGAGCAGAGAGTGCCAGGACATTATTGAGTTTATAAACAGCACAATACTGTATTGACTTTCCCCTCACAGATGGAAGCTTAATCTCTAGATTAAGGTTTTATTCTGATTGAAAGAGAAATTCCCAGTCACTGGTGATGTAGCCAAATCTCTTCATTAAGCTTTTTGAGCTGAAAAGGAGGGAAAAAAACACAAAGTTTTTTGACCAGAGCATTCTCGCATGCATAAAAGCATCTACAATATTTATCAACGTTGACTCTGACTGACAATCTCCTTGGAAGCCAGCCTCAAGGTAAGGATGAAGCAGCAGAGTGCAATACAAGAGATTAGAATAGAAAATATAGATTTCATTATTGTATATGCCAGACTAAAATTCCAGCCGATTTCTTTCAACTTTAATTTCAAATATAACCTGTTTGTACAGAAGTCCAGTATAGAAGGGGAGGGTGTGATTTTGTTTAATGCACATAGAAAATTACATGCATATTGTTTTTTTTTAAATTGTAGACGACCACAAACAGTTTTATATCCCAGATTCTTGTGGTTCTGGCTACAAATGAATCACACTTGCTTGCAGATGTGTTTTTGATCTGTGTGATACTTTGGAAACAATTCCTCTGCTTCTTTAAAATGCTATTTTATCCAGATAAGTGTTTTTCAGGTTAGTTTCTGAGAGGATTTGTGGACACAGAGTAACCAGGAGTAAGAGCTGCGCAACTCTAAATCCAGCCCAGTCAACCACATTTGAGCACACGTTCTATATACTTCCCATATAGTGAAAAGATGAGGAAAACAGGCTGATGCAGTGGGCATTTGATGGCTTAGGAAGACACAGGTTTGGGTTCATTTTTCAGTCTAACTTCCCACATTAAGATAAAATGGAACTAATCCCCAAGTATATGCACCTTGAGCTGCCTGGAGGCAGGCTAGAGTTTAAAATGTGAGAAACGTTCACCCATAATTAGTGGTCAAAAGAGAAGATAAAGTAAAGATCATCTATGAGGGGTGATACTCATGTAAGGAAGATGGCAGTGTCTACACAAAACAGGGGAAATATCAGTAAATCTGAGGGAAACTCATTGCTCCCAGGTATGCAAGAAAGGTTAAGAAAATTAAGAACTCAGGTGAGATTCCAAAACCACCCAATGAAGACACATCATGCTCAGGTGGCATGGAGTCCTGCTTAGTACTCCCATGTCATTAAAGCATTAGATGAAGTCTTGGGGAATTGCTGTGCTTCCCATGGCCTTCAGGCAGGAAGACAAGCCTCAGGGCATGCAGCCCTGGAAAGAGAGAAAGTTGGAATGTTGTGTCTTCAAAACACAGGTACTCATCCGTGTGCTGCCTTTGTGCTGCGTACCCACCCACCCACCCACCCAAAAAGTTAGGAGAAAGGGCAGGGGGTTGAGAAAAGAGCCAGTGGGTCCCATGTGCTTGGACCCAGCATGCTAACTGGAACAAGGGAGGATGCAGACTGGCAGAGCTGTGACTCCTGAATATTCTTATTCCACAAAATGTTGGGGAGGGGTATCTCATAAGGCTGGAGTGACCCTTGCACAACCTCAGTAGACGTTTTGGGTCTCAATGCTCCCATGACACATGTGCAGAACGTAAATGCAGGATATGAGCCCTCCTTGGAATGGCATCAGCCACAGAAACTAGAACCATTTTTTCTCCTTGCTCTACTGCTGTAAAATATCCCCCTCCCACTTGGGGACCTTTGGCTCTAGATTGCCACATTGCATCATTAGCCAGGGGTTTACCCAAATTCTGGGCCAACTTATCCCAATGCCTTTTGTGCACCTTGCCACAGTCAGCTGGCCTGATCCTTGCTTGCCTTGCTTCTGTGATGTCAGCAGAACCCACCTCTGTAACATCGTATATGGACCCAAGAGGCTCCACCCTCACGGCTGGAGTCCACACAATCTATGTTCTGGTCTCAGAATGGTTTCTTCTCTGGCAGCCTTTGTGCTGCCCGACTGTTGAGGAAAGGAACCATGGTGGCAATGGAACGGCGTGGCAGGCAACCTGAGAAGGTAGCCCTTCATAATGCAACATTTTGTTGCAGATCCCAATTCAACACTTTTTTTTTTCATTTGACATTTAACACCTGTGCCGCTAAAAACACGTCTTGCTTAAAAGAACTGCATCACTCCATAAATGAAAGGGTATCCGGGAATGTCCGAGAACAAGCCACAAGATGACTCAGCTGCAGATCTTCAGAATCAGATATAACTTCCTGATTGCTTTTTTTTTTAAATAAACTTGGGTTCTGTTTTTGTTCTAAGCAGCAGCTGCTGCCAACAGACAATTGTGACTGTGACTTGTGTTACATGGTCTTCACTTCTGGACAGTTCCAGGAAGTGCTACAGGACTGAACTTCTCTTACAAGAAAAGAGTTATGGTGACGTTACCATGTTAGCTTTATTTGCCAATGTACAGTGGGGGCAAACAGACACACCTGTAAGCAAATGTCACAACCAGTAACCACCTGTCAGATTCCCAGGAAGCAACTTCTCCCTTAAATTTCATAGCTGCACCTCAGCTAAGCTAACATCAGCTGTATTCTCTGCACACTCTCTCAGTCTTCCCAGTCCTCACTTATGCTGGCAGTTTCCCTGCTGAGCTGAGAGATGGTATAGTTGTCAGCTAGGCTCTGGTTGACTGTGATTCCTTTCCAGGCAACTGTCAGCCTCAGGCCTCTCTGCTGCTAAGTCCAAGAGGTGGACTGAGTATTAAAAAAATCCTCATCCTGCCTCTCACCATTAATAACTGGACAGTGGCTGAGAAATACCAGGCTAGTTTGATGCTTCTACAGGAACCCAGGTAAGGGACTCCCTCACAGAATATGGGTGAATCTGAGGTTTTATGGGGCCTCCTACGGGTCAATGAGGGGCAGTTGGCACCAGGTGCACTCTGGTTTTCCCACCACAGAGATCCAGATTAGTTTGTCTTGACACATTTTATACTCACAATGGCTGAAATTCAGTACTAAATCATAACTAGAGTAAGCCCACTGAATCAGCGAGGAACTGGTGAGTGTACTCCTCATAAGTTTCATGGATTCAGAGGGCCTACTAACTTATTGGATATCAGCCATTATGTTGTAC